AGAGGGGCTGATTAGAGACCATGGTGGGGCACTTATATCTGCCTTCCATGGCCCACTCCGGGCCTCCTCGAGCTATGATGCAGAGATTCAGGCGCTCCAGATTGGTCTTCAGATCGCCGCCTCGATCTCCTCCCATATATGGATAGAGATGGATGCTGCAACTATCATCACACTTTTGACATTTGGTCATCAGGGCTCATGGCAGATCCAACACCCCCTTATGCGCATCAGAGACACCCTCCGATCGATCCATTACCAGGTCTCGCAAATATTCCGGGAGGGAAACCGACCCGCTGATTTCCTTGCTGCCACCGGGACATCATACCTCAGAGACGTATCCTCCACCCTGAGGACATCCCCTTCGACTATGGACCCTCATTCGGATGGACCAGGTAGAGTACCCATTCTTCAAATTTGGTCAGCCTACATCACATGACCCAGACTAGGCTTGACGTTTTGGACTTTACACCAGACCACCATGGCCAGGCCGATCATTCATGAGGACTTACCTTTGGACCCACAATGGATATTTTGTGACCCTTGTACTTTTTAGTTTTTTCTTATTTGTTGATGGTTTTCTGTACTTTCGATATTGATGTAGATTCATGACTCATTAGCCCTTTCAGAGCCATTATACTCACAGGTCGGGGGTGTAGCCTCAACCCCCCATCCCACACTAGGGTGCATTTTTAATAATAAAAATAATAAAGCATATATATGTTCATACAAAAAAAAAGCAAGAGACACAATAACTAATGGCCACCACTTGATCGTCTTCATGCCGCCGCCAGTCATGCTCAACCTAAACAAAGGAAGATGAAACAAAGAGAAAAATAATGGGGGTGAGCAAAACGATTATGCTCACCATTACCGCACATTATATCCCGCATAGAGATTCAAAACCATAAATAAAGTATGCATAGAATCCAAGGTCTAACTCCCTACACGACCCTATCGCAAACCTCCTATGTACATACATTAACCTTCTGATAAGACATCGACAAGGAAGTAACCGGAAACCTTCCCACCTCGGCTCGACACGGGCTTAGGGATCCTTTCAAGGAGAAAGTGGAGCTGTTTTTCCCCCAAAAAAACACACGGATCAGGGCGTCCTCCTCCCGACTAGCAACGGGCAGATGACCTCTCACTTCTTATGCATTCATCAAAAGCACTATCAACGGGACACCTAAACTAGGGTTCTCACTCATACAACAACTATCGAAACGAACATTTATACGAAGTAACGAGTGCGATAATTATAGATACAACGCAAATGTACCCACCTGAATGCAACGATAAATCACAAACACGAGGCTGGAGTAAGGGGGGTGAGGTCAACACCTCAAAACACCTACAAGAAATCAAGATAACCTCCGATTACAACAAATCTAACGATCACACAAACTTAGTCGAAACTCGTCGACTAAGTGGCTCGTAGGAAACTTTTGTGGAGTTATGGAACATTCGACTCAACTCGAAACCAAATATGGGAAAGAGACATAATAATCAAATAAGGGTTGACCAGGTCAAATAAAAGTCAAAGGGGTCAACTGAGGTCAAAGGCTCGGGAAAAAATCTGAACACCGGGGTACGATCTTGGGCTCGCGCGCCGCAAGGCATAGCCGGGCGCTGCTGGCAAGCCTGGACGCAGCCCCAGGCGCACGTGGCCCCACTAAGCGCAGTGCTCGCTGGCGCGGGTGGCCGGTGGGTGCTGGCGCTTACGGCGCTAGTTAAGGTATCTCTCGGGCTATCTCAAAATCCACCCGAGGGTTTGACTCAAAATTTGGACACATATAAAATATCAACATGGAGCAACATATACGAAAAACCACATTAAAATTCAGACTTTAACACAATGAACTAATTTTTGCAAAATT